GAAAGAGGTCTTTCGGCCCATCGAGTCTGCACTGACCGTCTATCCCAACCTACTCCCGTTACCCCCATTTGCCATGACTAATCCAACCACCTAACCTGCACACTAGGGGGCAATTTAGCGCGGCCAATCCACCGAACTTGCACATTTTTGGACTTGGGAGGATCACAGCTTAGCTCTAAAGACGAGAAATTGTGCGTTATGGCTCAAAAAAAAACCCCTCGACTCTGAAACAATTTCACTGTTTTTGTTTCAAAAATAAAATCTGGTGAAAGCTGCAGCCACAAAGATAGCAGATTCTCTCCAGAGGAACAGAATTCAAAACTCGCGCCACTGACTCAAATTCCCAGACTTTAACTAAAGTATAGGTGGATACTAGATTGGAAGGTTCACCTGAATTACATCTGAAATGAGTTATTCCAGTTCATTTCTCATCCTGAATAATATATTCATTTTTTTTTCAAAGTTGGAGGGTCATTGACAGTTATAAATCTGCAGGGTTATTGGGATAGAACAAGGACTGACACTTGTTCGACACAGAGCCAGCATGATGTCAGAGGGCCGAATGGCCTCCGACTCCGTTCTGCCACAGTGAATCTATGATCTAAAGAGAACAGGGTCAGCTGCTCCAGTCTCTCAAACCAACTGAAGGCCCGAATCCCTGATGACATACCCCTAATTCCTGTCTCAGATATCTCATGGAACTTAACGTCATTCTGCAAAGTCCTGGCCCATACTGGGGGTCCTTTCTACAGCTACAGAGCTGAAAAGGAGGAAAACGAAGTTTCAATGATCTCATAGCAAAGTTTGACTCCACTGAGCACTGTCAACATTTGTCACCTCCATTTAGAGAAAGGAAACAAAAGCACTGGAAAAAAGTATTACATGGATTCACAAAGGTATTATCAAAACTGAGAACATATAACCCTCAGGAATGGCTGAGGAGCTTTTCTCCAGGAAAGAGAACGCTGAAGGGTGACCTGATGGAAGTCTTTGAAATGATGAAGGGCTTCAATAATCCAAAAGAGATTTCATGAGAAACCTCTTTAGCCAGTGACAGATGCAAATCAAAACTTATTTTCCACAGCGAATGGTTGAGGTGAACAGCAGCAATATATTTCAGGAGAAGTTGGATACATATACGAGGAAGAAAGGTACAGCAGGATCTGCTCATGGTGGAGATGAAAAGAGGAGGGTGCGGACTCACTTGGAGCATAAATATTGACACAGACCAATTGAGGTGACTGGCCTGGCACTGGACTACACAGTCGATGGAATAAAGACAAACATATTTATTTTTGATCTAATTGGAGTAGTAAGGACAACGTTACTTACTATTCAGGATAAAGTAAATGTACTTCAACAGGTTTTAGGGGTAGTTTCAGTGTAAATGTGCAGTCCCAGGCTCAAAGAGCATCAGTCTCACTGGAAGCAAAGTGGTGAGAGCGGCCAGTCCAGCAGATGGAAACTTTCCGACCCTTCCACCTCAGCCACTGTCCAAATGAATACAGCTCTGTCCTGGATGTGATTTTCCTCATTTTTAAAATCAATTCATGATGTACAGGTATCAATGTCTATGTCAGTATTTATTACCCATCCCAGTCCTCCTCCTTGAGAAAGTGACGGTGAGTTGCTTTCTGGGACCTGCAGTCCTTGTGGTGTAGGATCACCCACAATGCTGTTAGGGAACAGTTCCAGGATTTTGACTCATTGACAGTGAAAGAACAGCCAATATGGAGGAGCATGATATTCAAATCCCAGTGATTTCAGTGCCTCCATTAGAGCTTCACGTGATGGTCATTTTGAGATTTCTGTCTGCAAATCTTCCCTTTCTAACATCCTGTTAATGAGAATTATGTGTGATATGGAGGGGAGCATGCAGGTGGTAATGGTCCCATGTAACTGCTGCACTAGTTATTCTAGGTGGTGAACGTTGTGAGTTTGAAACGTGCTGTCTAGCAGCTCAAATACTGCAGATTAACTGCAGATCCAAGTCCTACGATCATTTGTGAACGTTCTTATTCTTCCACGGACTGGATAACCGAGTGAATGTGGGAAAGGATTCAGAACAGATGAAGGGCTTCTCCCCAGTATGAACCTAGTGGTGTTTCTGCAGCGTAGATGAATCTCTGAACCGCTTCCCACACTTGGAACATTTGAATGGACTCACCCGCGTGGGATTCGCTGATGTCTCAGCAGGCTTGATGACTGAGTGAATTCTTTTCCACAATCAGAGCGTATAAATGGCCTTTCCCCAGTGTGAACTTGCTGATATGCACGAAGTTTGGATAACTGAGTGAATGTTTTTCCAAACTTCAAACACATATTTGGCCTCTTCCCTGCGTGAACTCGCTGATGTCTCAACAGGGTGAAATATTCATGGAATTCCTTCCTGCACAAGGAACAGGTGAATGGCCTATCTCCAGTGGCAGCACGCTGGTGTTTCTGCAGAGCAGATGAATCAGGGAATCCGTTCCCACACTCAGAACAGGTGAACAAACTCTCCCTGCTGTGACCGTGTTGATGAAACTCCAGCGTCGACAAGGAATGAAATCCTTTCCCACAGTCCTCACATTTCCATGGATTCTCTATGTTAAACGTGTGGCTTTGTGTCCCTGTAAGTTTTACAATCAGCTGAATCCTTGTCCACCCAGAAACACAGGTATGGTCTCTTCCTACTGTGAACGGTGCGATGTTCCTTTAGACTGGGTGATTGGATGAAGGTACGTCAGTTCAATAGAAAACTCTCACTTGGGTGTGCATGTCTCAGTACTTTTCCAGACAAACTGATGTTTCAAATATTTTGAAGTAGCCAGGACAGATATTCCGGATCTATGGTTTCAAGCCAATGATATTCAAGTACCAGCTATTTTAGTGACGTCACGTGATGATCGTTTTGTGATTGCTGTGTAAATCTTCCCTTTTTAACATAACGTAAAAAGAGTTATAAAATTTCATCACTATGAGATTAGAAATTCGGTGAAAAATTCAGAACAGCCAAATATAAGTGATCATCATTTCTTTTCCTGGACTCCCTCCCTGGGTTCACTTCATTTCCTGTCAGTTGCTGCAAGTAAATAATTTCACATCAGAATTTTAAAATAGAAATTGGGAGAAATTGCTTCCTCACAGATGATGGACAGAGGAGGAAGTTTCAGTCTGGGTGAAGCTCAATCTTCATTCACAGAAGAGCAGCAGTAACTTTGCTGGATTGTCCCGCGTTCGCGCTCAGACATCAGGGGAGGTGATTGGCTGGAGATCAAGCTTGCTTCCGGTCCTCCAGCTCTTTCGATTGGTCATGTTACAGAATTATGACGGAATTGGAAAGGAACACGGATTCGCATGGGGAAGCAGCTGCCTTGAGCCCATGACGGTTGAAATCTTCTGCCAATAGAAAAAGAGGGTGCTGTGATTACAAACCAATCATGTAACGAGAGGTGTTCCCGCCCCAAATTCAACCCTGAACACGTGCGAATCCCAGTTTCCCACCCACGTGGAACCTGCCACATGACCCGCGGCGATAGGGATTGTGGGAGCTGTAGTCCCCATGAAGCCACTGGAACCCTGTCTCTTAAAGATAGATGAAAAAGAGTGGGGCAGAGGGTGGTTGGAACTGGATCCCCATTCCAGACACACAGAACATGTGGGCCGTCACTGATTTTACTGAGACACCCTGCTTAGCCAAAATGTTTTCTAGTATCAGTCATAAAGACTTAGAGTAGGAGCAAAT